CCGCACGCGGCCGCCCCCGCCCCTGGCCCCGCGCGCCCCGCCGCTCGTACCGTCTCCTCGGGGTCGATGTCGATCTTGAAGGTCTGCTGCTGGAGGGTCTTCAGGGTGATCTGCATGATGCCGCCGCGCGACTCCACTGGGGTCTGCGCCGGGTGCTGGCCGCTGGGCGGGGTCTGTGGCCTGGCCGGGCCCTGGGGTCGCCCGCGCTCCTAGCGCTCTTGAGAGGGAGGCGGTGGGGGTGGGGGCTCGTCACATTCGCCCTGCCGAACGGCCTCTCCTCCAGCTCGGGCCCCGGGCCGCGCCGCTGCCTCCGCGACTGCGGCCTTCCCCGCGAGCTCTGGCCTCCGTGCTTCCTCACGCGCCTGCCGCCGGCCCCTGAGTCTGCAGGAGGTGCGAGGGGCTCTGCGAGACAGAATCCACCAGCTCACCATACGACGGTGGCCGCCATCATCGTGACTCACCGAGACGTGCCCCCTCCCCCACTCAAAAAACCTGGGGGATGGGGCCGGGCTGGCGAAGCGCGCAGGCGTAGGGTGCGGCGAGGCTGTGCGCAGGCGCGGCTAGCAACTCCGCCCCGGAATTGGGGGCGGGGCGGATCGCGGCTCTGGAATGTCGGCGGCCTGGATCGGGCGTGCGCAGGCGCACACGTGGGCGCCAGGGGTTTTCGGGGCTTCCTCGTCGCGTCTGCAGCCTGGGTATTCTCCCAGCCCGCCGCTGCTCATCCTTCGTCTAGACTCCGCCCCGAGGTGCGCCATCCGTAGCCCTGGGAGCGCTACGTGGGGACCCTACTGGGTGGATGCTGAGCTCTGGTAGACTGGGTCGGAGTTTAAGTGGAAGGATCGCGGTAACCACAGTAATGGGCCGACACTTGCAGGGCGTTTGCTGCGGGTGCGCCTTTGTCGGGTCGCCTGATTTTTTTGATCATGAGAGCGCAGACTCCAGCGCCGGGCTGCCTGGGTTCAAATTTTGTCTTCTCTCATTAGCCTTGGGACCTTGGACCTAAACAGAAGGATCGATTTAAAACAGGTCAAGTTTTGTCACTCGGGGCCGAACTGTCCAGTGGTTTCCCGTCTCACCTAGAGTAAAAGTCAAAGTTCTCAGAGCTGGATCCACTGGCCCTCGCCTTTCCCTCGGCGTGCGGTCGTTGGTGATGTTAGGCGTGTGCTCCCGCCAAAGGGCCTGTCTTTGCATTAGCTGTTCCGAATGCCCATCTTCAAATCTTTGCTCACATGTCACCTTCTCGGTGAGGTCTGCGCTGGCTACCCTACTTAGAGTTGTAACTTCTCTACCTCCGTGATCCTGCTCTATTTCTTCTGCAGCATTTATCACCATATAATGTACATATGTGTTATGCTTATCATCTTCCTTCCTTTCCTCTAGACTCCACATTCCTCTAGACTTCCTTCCTTTCGTCTAGACTCCACAAAGGCAAAGATTTTGCTTTTTTCGCTGATGTTTCCCCAGTACCGAAGAAACGTGCCTGCCACGGAGCAGGCACATAATAAATATTTGTGGAATGGGTGAATGTGCTTCCAGTTCCTCAGCAGTAAAGTGGGGATAATAATGGCACTTAATTCATTGATGATTGGAGGGGGGAGCTGGATAATGTATGCTTAGTAACAGAAACATAAGCAGTCCATGAGTGATTAGCTATTAGTATGTCTATTTACAGACGAGAAAACTGAAGTACAGAGATGTTGAGTCACTGGGTGTCCTGAGTCACCCAGCTAGTAAGTAGCAGATCCAGAATCTGAACTCAAGCAGAATTATTCCAGAGCCTGGAATAATTATTATTTCTAGGTGCCAGGCTGTTCTGCCTCCTTATAGAGTTCTCTGTGGCATATCTGAGTTAAAGTGGTTCAAGTATAAAACACAGAGTCAGGGCCAGCATTCTTACTGATACAGTGTCACTGCTTGGTTTTCCATGAATTCTAGAAGCTCAGATATAAATCGTTTCATGAAATTTTCCCTGAGCAACCTCCCTCTCCACTAATCTGGTATTTCCCCTTTCACAGCACATATCTCCCTGCACTGTAATGAAATATCGAATCCTCTGCCCTCTGTCTTCCTGTATGTCTCTACTCTTAGTCACCAGGTTTTCTCATCTTGGCCCTTGTTTTGAATTATCTCCAGCCTGGACCTCACCTCTTAGCTATAGATAGAGTTAGCCAATTGCCTAAGCAGTATCTTTACTTGAAATGTAACAAGCCTTTGAAACTTAGCATGGCCAAACAGGACCATTGATTTTCCTTTGGATGTCCCTTTCCTCTGCAAACTGCTTCTCTCCAAGTGTTCCCCGCATTAGTTCATGGCACCACCATCTACCCTGATGCTAAGACAAAAATCTGGTCTTCACCCTTGATAAGTCTCTTTCATACCTCTCCCAACCACCACCACATCCAATCCATTATTAAGTTTTGTGAACTTTATTCTCCAAAATATATCCCCGATTTAGCCATTTTTCACCATTTCTACTTCTATAATCCTAGGTTAATCCATCATCCTTCACCTGCCTCCCAACTGGTCTCTCCACTTCCACTCTTTTTCCCCAACAGCATTCACAGAAGCCAGAATGGTCTTTTTAAATCATAAATCAGATCATGTCACATCTATGCTTGATACCTAATTACACTTTAGAATAAAACTGAAACTCTGCCTGGCCTTGGCAAGCCCACATGATCTGACTCCTGCCAAACTCTCTGACCTCATCTCTTTACTTCTCTCTCCCTCTCACTCACTATCATCCCTCAAATAGGCTAAGCTGGTTCTAGTCTCAGGGCCTTTGCACTTGAAGTTTTCTCAACTTGAAACTCTGTCTTTCCAGATCTTTGAGTGGCTAACTTTTCATCTTCAGGTTCCAAGTCAAATTTTACTTCCTAAGAGAGGCCTTCTCAAACAAATTTAACAATATATAATGAACATATATTAAGCCTTTTCTCTAGTGGGAGGCACTTGCTTCTTGGGGAGAGGAACTCACTGTTTCATTCAGGACTGTTTCGCCAGCATCCAGTACAGTGCCTGGAACATAGTCGGTGCTCAGCAGCCTATGTTGACTGACTCCCAACTCAATAGTAAGCTCCATCAGGCCAGGTGCTGTGTCAGTCCTGTTCATCACATTCTCTTCAGAGTCTAGTACAGTGTGGGAACCCCACATATGTTGGTCGAAAATATGCTGAAATTACTTTAGTTATAATTTACAACAGTTGTAAGACAACATAAAAATATTTTTAAAAATGGAATATGCTGTACAAAGTTATAATATTAAAGTCTTCCTGCTACAACTACTATTGTCTGTCTGCAGAAACAAAGGATGGGGAGAAATGCCTTTCCATATATTAGTGGCAAGAGTAGATTTTAAGTGTCAATTAATTAAAATGTTTATACAATAACATTTTCCAATGTACAGTGTTAAGCTAAAATTGTTTTATTTTTTTTCTGATTTCTAGAAAAACTGCACACCAGACATACCCATTTGACCTGAAAGCACAGATTGGACCGACTGTATGCCTCCTTGTAGGATAGAATTGCCTGACCCCAGAGTCCCAAAGTGTACATGATAGATGATAGGACCCCACCTCTACCCCCCAGCACAAAGGCCACCAGGGTGAGGCGCTTGTCAGCAAGGCCTTGTATGATAGGCCTTGGGCCTCCTGTCTAGGGCTACTGGGCCAATATAAAATATGGGAAAGAGTCACTGATTCCAAATGCTTGGCAACAAGCCAGGGAATTTTACCTGCGTTTTTGGAAATCAGTCAAATGATTTCAGGAAAGAGGATGAGCAAGAGGAAATGCAACAGTTGCTGACTTAGAAAATACCAGGGTAAAAATGCTAGACTTCAAACAATTCATTCATTCGACAAATAGTCCTTGAGACTCTCTGTGCCAGGAACTATTCTGGGTGCTTGGGATACAGTAGAGAACAAAACAAAGTCCCTACCCTAATGGAGTTTATATTCTAGTGGGATAATAATAGATAAACAGATAAGAAAGTAAAAATAAAAATTTATAATACCTCAGGTGATTGTAAGTGTGTATATATGTGTGTGTGTGTATGTGTATGCATGTGTGTATGTGTGTGTGTGTGTATATACACACACGCATGCATATTTTTTTTTTAGGAAAAGGAATGTTGTTGCAGAAAATGTGCCAGATATGTTTCATTCCTACCCTGCCTCATTGTTCTTTCTTATCCCTTCTTCCCCCGGCAATTAGTGCCAAAAAGGCTGACCTATATGGGCTACCTCAATTGGCCTCCTGGGGAATCTCAGCAGGAGAGTGAAGTTAGGGAATTTATTACTCTTTGTGGTTGGCAGAGCCCTTGATACCAGGTCATTGCTTCTACAGGGTGGCTCCTCTCCAGGTGATTCTCTTCTTCTGGTTGCTGGTAACTGCTCCTACCTCACCCCTTCAGGCCTAGAGGACCCTTATTTCTCACTCCAAGGTACTGTACTCTTTCTATAGTTTCCCTATACTCTCCCCACATCATTGTTAAGAGTCCCTTTTTTGAATCTTCCTGGAATATATATTAGTTTCCTAGGCTGCCGTAACAAAGTACCACAAACTGTGTGGCTTAAAACAACAAAAATTTATTGCCTCACAGTTCTGGTGACTAGAAGTCCAAAATCAAGGGGTTGGCAGGGCTGTGCTGTCTCTGAAATTCATCAGGAAGCATTCTTCCTTATCTCTTCCTAGCTTCTGGTGGTGTTTTTGCAATCCTTGATGTTCCTTGGCTTACAGCTGCAGCATTTCAATCTCTGCCTCTGACATTATATAGTGTTCTACATTTGTATGTCTGTGCCCCTGTGTTTCTTCTTATGAGGACACCAGTCATATTGGATTAAGGGCTTACTCAACTGCAGTACAACTTCATCTAATTAATTGCATTTGCAATGGCCTCATTTCTAAGTAAGAGCACGTTCTGAGATTTGGAGTTTAGGTCTTCAACATATCTTTTTTTTGGGGGGGTGGAACAATTCAACCCAGAAAAATAAATAATTTGAATATGACATCTGTTTTTCTGCTGGGACCCTGATTGATGTATGGGTTAATCAGGAAAAGTCTCCCTCATGGGGTGACATTAGAGTAGAGAGATGCAAAGCCAGCCATGCATATATCAGGGAAAAATTGAGGGAACCAAATAGAAGGAATAACAATAATAGCCATAAGTGTTCATACTCACATAGGATTTATTATATGCAGATGCAAGGCCATGGGGTAGAAGCACCCTTGGCATCCTGGAGGAATATCAAGGAGATTAGATGAAGGAGACAAGAAGCAAGGGGGATGATGTCAGAGATGTAAGGGAGGTGGGGCACTGGGCAGAAAGCCATTGTAAAGACTTTAGATTTTACTGGGTAGCAGGGAAAGTCATTGGAGAGTTTAAGGGAGGGAAGTGAAAGGCTCTGACTTATATTTTGAAAGGATTGGTCTGATTGCTTAATGGAGAACTTCCTGGAGGAGGGGAAGGATGAAT